TGGCACCACGCCCGGCTAATTTTTTGTGTTGTTTAGTATGAGACAGGGTTCACCATGTTAGCCAGGAATGCGTCTCCATCTCCCGGACCTCGTGATTCCACCCACCTTGGCTTCCCAAAGTGCTGGAATTACCAGGTGTGGAGTCCACCGTGCGCCGGGCCCTAATCTTGTTGAATCTTAGAGGTACAGAATAAATAATCTGTTGATTCTATAAGCCGTCAGATTACGGCGCGAGTTTGTTGTAGCAGCTCGGGATGACTTGACGAGGCCTCTTATCTCTATAGCAAAAACATCAGGAAGGACATAGCATGGGGCCATTGCATCTCTCAACCTCCTCGTGGAATCTACATGCCTCTGTGCTATCCAGGAGGTTTGAGACCAGCCTTGGGCACACAAAGAAGACCCCTGTGTTATACAAAAAAAAAAAAAACAAAAATTAATTCTGGGTGTGGTGGTGTTGACTTATAGTGCCCAACTGCTCTGGAGGCCGAGGCAGGAGGATCATTTGAGGCCAGGAGTTAGAGACCAGCCTGGGCAACACAAACAAGACTCCTGGTTTCTTTCTTGTTTTGTGTTTGTTGGTTGTTGTTGTGTTTGGTTGGGTTCTCACTCTGTCACCAGGCTGGGAGTGCAGTGGCGGCGATGCTCCGCCTCACTGCAAGCTTGGCTGTTCCCCGGGTTCACGCTATTCCCTCCTGCCAGCCTCTGAGTAGCTGGAACACAGGCACCCAGCACCACGCCCGGCTAATTTTTGTGTTTTTAGTAGAGACAGGGTTTCACCATGTTAGCCAGGATGGTCTGCCATCTCCGGCCTCGTGATTCACCCACCTTGGGCTCCCAAAGTGCTGGAATTACAGGTGTGAGCCACCGCGCCCGGCCCATCTTGTGATCTTAGAGGAAAATAAATATCTGTTGTTTATAAGCCGTCGGATCTACGGGAGTCTCTGTTGTAGCAGGCTCGGACTGCACAGCTCGGACTGACTGACCGAGGCCCCTCTAAGCTATATCAAAAACCATCAGGGAAGAAGCATTGGGCCATGCATCTTTAGCTTCCTCAGGGAATTAGCATGACCTGTGCTTCCGGAGGTGTGAGACCAGCCTTGGCAACCAAAAGACGCCTGTTTATACAAAAAAAAAAAAAAATTGGAATTGGGTGTGGGTGGTGTAATGCCTATAGTCGCAACTGATCTGGAGGCCGAAGGCAGGAGGATCATTTGAGGCCAGGAGTTAGAGACCAGTCCTGGGCAACACAACAAGACACTCTACCAGAGGAAAAAAAAAATCAAAAAAGTAGCTGGGCATAATGGTGCACACCTGCAGTCCCAGTTACTCAGGAGGCCAAGGCAAGAACATCACTTGAGACCAGGATTTGAGTCTGCAGTGAGCCATGATTGTGGCCCTGCACTCCAGCCTGGGTGACAAAGTGGAACCCTGTCTCTCAAAATAAATAAATAATTTTTAAAATTTTAAAATTAAAGGTCGGGTGCAATGGCTTATGCCTGTAATCCCAGCACTTTGGGAGGCCGAAGTGAATGGATCATTTGAGGTTGGGAGTTCGAGACCAGCCTGGCCAACATGGTGAAACCCCATCTCTACTAAAAATACAAAAATTAGCTGAGTGGTAGTGGCATGCACCTGTAATCCCAGCTACTCGGGAGGCTGAGGCAGGAGAATCACTTGAACCCAGGAGGTAGTGGTTGCAGTGAGCTGAGATCATGCCACTACACTCCAACCTGGGCAACAGAGAGAGACTCGGTCTCAAAAAGTAGTAATAATAATAATATGCTTCTGACTCATCTTCCTTTTTCATTTGGGAAAACACAGGGACATTCCACCTGATTCTTTCTAATGATACGTTTCCTTCTGTGTAAGGTCCAGCCCTACGAGGCTTAGCGGGTATTCTCCCCGTGTGCAGAGATGAGAGATCATAAGAAATAAAGACACAAGACAAAGAGATGAAGAGAAAACAGCTGGGCCCAGGGGACCACTACCACCAAGATGCGGAGACAGGTAGTGGCCCCGAATGTCTGGGCACGCTGATATTACTGCATACAAGACAAGGGGGCAGGGCAAGGAGGGTGAGTTGTCCAAGTGATTGATAAGGTCAGGCAAGTCACGTGATCGTGGGACAGGGGGCCCTTCCCTTTTAGGTAGCCAAAGCAGAGAGGGAAGGCAGCATCTATCAGCATTTTCTTCTCTGCATTTATCAAAAAGATCAAAGACTTTAAGACTTTCACTATTTCTTCTACCGCTATCTACTATGAACTTCAAAGAGGAACCAGGAGTACGGGAGGAACATGAAAGTGGACAAGGAGCGTGACCGTTGAAGCACAGCGCCACAGGGAGGGGTTTAGGCCTCTGGATGACTGCGGGCAGGCCTGGATCATATCCAGCCTTCCACAAGAAGCTGGTGGAGCAGAGTGTTCCCTGACTCCTGCAAGGAAAGGAGACTCCCTTTTGGGTCTGCTAAGTAACGGGGGCCTTCCCAGACACTGGCGTTACCACTTGACCAAGGAGCCCTCAAGCGGCCCTTATGTGGGCGTGACAGAGGGCTCACCTCTTGCCTTCTAGGTCACTTCTCACCATGTCCCTTCAGCACCTGACCCTATACCCGCCAGATATTCCTAGGTTATATCAGTAATGCAACAAAGAGTCATATTAAAAGCAAATGATTAATAATGTTTATTTATTTTTTTTTTAATTTATTTTTTTGAGACGGAGTCTTGCTCTGTCACCCAGACTGGAGTGCAGTGGCCGGATCTCAGCTCACTGCAAGCTCCGCCTCCCGAGTTTACGCCATTCTCCTGCCTCAGCCTCCTGAGTAGCTGGGACTACAGGCGTCCGCCACCTCGCCCGGCTAGTTTTTCGTATTTTTTAAGTAGAGACAGAGTTTCACCGTGTTAGCCAGGATGGTCTCGATCTCCTGACCTCGTGATCCGCCCGTCTCGGCCTCCCAAAGTGCTGGGATTACAGGCTTGAGCCACCGTGCCCAGCCAATAATGTTTATAATAATGATTGATCATTGTCCCTGATCATCTCTATATCTAATTTGTATTATGATTTTTCTTATTGTAACTATTTTCTGTATTATACTGAAACAGTGTGTGCCTTCAGTCTCTTGCCTCGGCACCTGGGTAATCCTCCACCCACATTTCTGAGCAGTAGCCCAAGACAATTCTAAGCATGTGGGGGAAGGAAAACTGGAAGTGCTATTTCTACCCAGACTGCGAAACTCAGCATAAATTTTTACACAATTTGACCTCTTGGAGGTACTTAAAGCTCTTAGTGTCCCCTGGGGGCACCAGGCTGCCTCCCCTGGAACAGAGGGTCCTCCTCAAAGACCTTCTGTCTCAGCCTGGACTCCCCAAAAGCAGACTCAGAGATAGTTTACTGGGGAAGCTCCATGTGGGAGTGGCGCAGTGAAAAGCCAGTGCAGGGTGCGGCTAGGGAGCAGGGGACTGCTGGGGCTACGGGAGACTGTGTGGATCACCCCCTTGGAATGGTCCCGCCAGAGCTCCAAATACTCCTGGCTGGGTTTTGTTGTTGTTTGTTTTGGGGTTTTTTTGTTTGTTTTTGTTTTGTTTTGTTTTGTTTTTTGACTGAGTCTTGCTCTGTTGCCCAGACTGGAGTACGGTGGTATGATCTCAGCTCACTGCAACCTCCACCTCCTGGGTTCAAGCTATTCTCATGCCTCAGCCTCCTGAGTAGCTGGAATGACAGGTGCCCACCATCACATTTGGCTAATTTTTGTATTTTTAGTAGAGGTGAGTTTTCACCATGTTGGCCAGGCTGGTCTCAAACTCCTGACATCAGGTGATCCGCTTGCCTCAGCCTCCCAAAGTGCTGAGATTACAGGCATGAGCCACCACGCCTGGCTTGGCTATTTTTTAATCTACTGCCTCCTGGCCTTTGGAGTGAGGGTTGCCCCTGAGGCTGTAAAATCTGGCTCTTCTGGGCCCACTGTGGTGCAGGCAAAAGGCCTCAGGCAGCCAACCAGAGCCTGAAGTTCCTGTCCTCAGCCAGTGCCAGCTGTACAAGCTGCTGTTGGCTCCACATCCTGCATGGCATGGGGACTCCTGCCTCCCAAAGTGCTGGGATTACAGGCATGAGCCACTGTGCCCAGCCCAGCTAATGTATTTTTAAATTAAAACAAAAATTTGTAGGGGTAGTGTCTCACTTTGTTGCCCAGGTTTGTGTGTGTGTGTGTATATGTGTGTGTGTATGTGTGTGTGTATATGCGTGTGTGTGTGTATGTGTGTGTGTGTACTGTGATGGTAGTATGTGGTATGTGCGTGTGTGTGGTATGGTGATTGTTATGTTGTGTGGTGTGTGTAGTGTGGTGTGTGTGTGTATACTATTAATATATATATGAAAGCTGACATAGTTTGCTGACATGCCTGATAGTGCCCAGCTTCTCAGAGACTTGAGTGGAGGATCCCATAAGTCCCAGAGTCTGGATGGCTGCCAGTAGCTATGATTGCCCACTGCACTCCAGCCTAGACTTATAGGAGCAAGACCCTGGTTTCTTTAAAAATAGATATATGATATGAAACAAAAAAAAAAAATAAAAAGGCTCCCCCGGGAGCTGCAGTGGCTCATCGCTTTGGGGAGACTTTGGGAGGCCTGGAGGGTGGGTGGATCCACCTGAGGTCAGGAGTTCCGAGACCAACCGGGCACAACATCGGGAAACCGCTGTATCTATACTAAAACATACAAAATTAGCTGGCGTGGTGGCGCACATGCCTGTAATTCCAGCTACTCAGGAGGCTGAGGCAAGAGAATAGCTGTGAACCCAGGAGGCAGAGGTTGCAGTGAGCTGAGATCATGCCATTGCACTCCAACCTGATAAAAGCGAAACTCTGTCTTAAAAAAAAAAAAAAAAAAAAAAAAAAAAAAAAAGCCAGATGTGGTGGTGTGGGGACTGGTAGGCCCAGCTACTTGGGAGGCTGAAGTGGGTGAGCTATGATCATGCCACTGCCCTCCAGCCTGGGGGATAGAGTGAGACCTTATCTCTACAAAAATAAAAATGAAAAAATTAGCCAGGTGTGGTAGCACACCTGTAGCCCCAGCCACTCAGGAGGCTGAGGTGGGAGGATTGCTTGAGTCCAGGAGGTCAAGGATGCTGTTAGCCATAATTGCACTACTGCACTCCGGCCCAGGTGACAGAATGAGACCCTGTCTCAAAAACAACAACAACAACAACAACAAAAAGACTGAAGGCCTCCCGCCTCAGCCTCCCAAGACGTTGGGATTACAGGCGTGAGCCACACTCCCAGCCATCGCTCCTATTTTAGGGATGAGGTCACATCCCTGCAGAGGCCCAGAACAGAGAGGACCTTCTCCCACAGGACAGATAGGGTCACGGTCAGTTGGAGTTGTGAGGTCTTCCAGGCACGAGCAGAGGACAGAAAGGGACAGGCTAAGCAAAGGCATCGGCACAGCAGGGCTGGGAAACTTGAAGGCAGCTGGCAGAGTGCCCTGGGCGTTTGTGAAAGGTCCTGTGGTCTGCTCGGCTCTGCTAGGAGCCGGGGGATGGGAACCTGGGAGGAGACTGGGGAAAGTGATGCAGCATGAGGGGGCCACACATCCTGATTTTTCAGAAGCTGTGAGCAGCATTTGAGCCAGAATATTGCATCCCTCTCTGGGCCTCAGCTTTGCCATCCATGACACAAGGAAGGTGGCTGAGACTTCTGCGTGCTCGCCCAACACCCATTCTCCTATCCTTCCTCATTACCAGAACCCTGGTTGTATTGATAGTGGCAACAGATGATGCTTATTTATTTATTTATTTATGTAGAAACAGAGTCTCGCTCTGTGGCCAGGCTGGAGTGCAGTGGCACAATCTTGGTTCACTGCAACCTCCGCCTCCCGGGTACAAGTGATTCTCCTGCCTCAGCCTCCCAAGTAGCTGGGATTACAGACGTCCACGACCATGCCCAGATAATTTTTATATTTTTAGTAGAGATGGGGTTTCATCATGTTGGCCAGGCTGGTCTCAAACCTCGAACCCCTGACCTCAAGTGATCCACCTGCCTCAGCCTCCCAAAGTGCTGGGATTACAGGCGTGAGCCACTGCACCAGCCAACATGAACCTCTTGAAGTCATCTCCCACCCCATCTACCATCTCTTTATCTGTCCACCTATCAACCTGTCGATCTAGCCATCTATCGATCTATCCGTCCATCCATCCAGCCTATTGGTTCTGTTTCCCTGGAGAACACTGACCAATGCAGAGGGCAAGACAGAGAATCCCAGAGGAGCCTGGGTCCCTGACAACCTTGGGGAGGACATTACACAGCGCCACCCTCAGACTTGTTGCTGCATGAGAGAAAAATAAGCCCTATCTTGTTTTAAGCCACTGTTGTGGGGGTTTTCTGTTATTGGCAACCAAACTCAGCCCCTAAGAGGTGCAGGGGAGGCCATGTGCCCCGCAGTTCAGGCACCCCAAATCACACCCACAGTGGTTACTTTATCCCAGTACTGCCTGGACTATTCTGGGGTTAATTTTTTTCTTTAAAGAAACTCATTTTTTGGCCAGGTATGGTGGCTCATGCCTGTAATCTCAGCACTTTGGGAGGCTGAGGCAGGTGAATCACTTGAGGTTAGGAGTTCAAGACCAGCCTGGCCACCATGGTGAAACTCCATCTCTACTAAAAATACAAAAACTTAGCCAGGTGTGGTAGTGAGTGCCTGTAATCCCAGCTACTCTGGAGGCTGAGGCAGGAGAATCGCTTGAACTTGAGAGGTAGAGGCTGCAGTGAGCTGAGATTGCACTCCAGCCTGGGCAACAGAGGGAGACTCTGTCTCAAACACAAAAACAAAAAATCAAAAAAGGGTAGCGGACTGCTGAAGGCTGGTTTGCATTGACATGCAGTTACCCTGAGTCTCTTGCTGGGCAGGTGTGTTCACGCTGCCTTCGCTTGATGTGGGTTCGCAACCCAGGGGTGGCGGGCTTAGGCCCTATCGGCTGGGAGCCAGGCCCCCATTCTGACTGGGAGCCGTTGGAATGGGAGCTGTAGGAGGTGGAGAGGTTCTCCTTGGGCCCTCAGCTTGAAGCAGGGCCTCATGCCCTGGCACCCCAG